TTCGTGGAATGCAAGATATTAATATTTTCGGCTTGCGAGTGTTTCCTAACATTTTTCTGTAAAATTCAATACATTCGACAGAAACAGAGATAATGTATATTAAATATAAACGGCACATTACAATAAAATTTACGTATGTCGAGTGTCCGTACTGACAAAAAAAAGATGCTATTCGAATATGCGACGATTATTGTGACAACCCCTCCGGCACAGTTCGTATTTCTTATTCGTAATAATGTTGCTCGTTTTCGACTGTGTTTTTTGCAGATAAGTACTTACAGTTTTCGGTCGCTGGTGCGTATTAGTCCTACTGGTAGAAGAATAGGTTTTAGTAATGAAATAAAAACATTCGAACGAAATGATATAATACTACGTGTCGATATTAGACGCGAATATGTTTTTAGGTCGTTTGAATTACTATCGTGACAAAAACGTTACATGTACGAAACACGGACCGTCGGCGTATTCTTCCCGACTAATACATTACGAATTAGACGGACAAGTTTATCTACAGATATTCCATCTCGAATACCTGACGTTAAATGTTCCGACATTACAGTGTGCTTTTTATGTGCGCTTATCTGCGTTCACGAATTAACGTAAACCTCGTTTTTATCGCACAATATTATGCAATACAATCTAGGAAACTGTGTGCACTACATGCGATACGTACTACAGAAAGAGTACAAAAAAAACCGGATTACGCGTTCGAATTGCATCTCCGATTCCGATTAGCCGCTAAGTGGCCCTCCGCGGCATGAGTCTCGATATAAACGACTTTGTAATTTTTATTAATATTTTAATACCGAGCGAAAGCATACGAATATAATGGGAAAATCGGTCGGTCGTTATTTTCGTAATCCGTATTCCCTCTCCCTCGGTCGACCGAAATACTTCTCTCGAGGATACGTACACAGCGATCGCTGTTAATCGGCGCACGGCGACCGTCCCCGGAATAACCGATTAATCTGTATGGAATGAGTCGAAAGCGGCGTCAGTTACCGGATTTTATACATTCGTTTAAATTAAAAATCTAACAAATGAATACTAATAATACATATCCGCCGATTAAGTAATGAAGCTTCTAAAAAGGCCCTAGCCAATCATAACGCGCAACCGTAAATATTTCTATGCGAATTCCTTACAAATGTCATAATGACATTGTTCCTAATGTTAGGCAGGGACGATGATGACGTCGATGCCGATGATGCTGAATGTAATCCCCCTTGCGGGAGTTCCCGAAAACGGGCGCTATCTATCGTACATATTGTAATCTGTAATAATAAAAAGAAATCATTTACGATGTCGCTAGGCGTTTAAAAAAAAAAAAAAAAAACTTAAAATTTTTCTTCTTCAATAGATGACAGCATTTTTTATTTTCATAAAATTGGTCCAAATATAGTTATTTTTATTAATTTATAATACATATATATGTTAATTGAATATGTATAAGAACGATAAAACTCATTCTAATATTCCTTCTACTTATTAAACTGGCGCTTGTATAATGAAAATAAAAAAAGACTAAACAAAATTAAACATCTTAAAAGAAAGAATAGCGTGGCATTATATACAAAAGAACGTGTTCAGTAACTACTTCTTCAAATGTTAATTTATTTCAATGGTGACGTCACAATCCCCAACCAATTGGAGATAATCAAAATTGTATATGATAAAACAACTGCGGAGTATATAAAGTATGTTAGAAGTGCGCTCGGTTATGAATATTGGAAGCAGAACTCGAGTAAAAGACAAAAAATTAGTTACATAATTATAACATTATTAAGAAAAACGCAATGTCAACTCATTCCGACAATTATCAACAACTAAGGAGTCTGTCATTAGATTCTTATAATCTTGGTAATCAGTTAAGGAAATTGTGGAAGGTAAGTAAGAAGTTATTTTGTATTATTTTGAAAACTAATTTTTAATTATATGTATTATTAAACGTGTTATTTAGAAATATTTAAATATTTTTAAGTTAAGAAATATGCTTACCGTTTAGCAGACACAAGGACGGCGTGTGACTTTTGTATCTTTTAAGGAACAATTGCATTTTTCTTAAGTATGACATATGAATCACCTTTGGTCTCTGCTCGTTTTCCTTTATTATTGTTTACTGCTGAATTTTTTTTTTTTTTAAATTAATTGCATTTCTGAAAGGGAACAAAAGATATAGAAAAGAGGAAAAATCGCTTAATTTAGTTGACATTTAAATTTAAAATAAATTTTATTAAATATTTTTATGTATTTTTAAATAATCTTTGGACTTGGTTTATCCTGGACTGTGTGATAAAATAACAACATTATCTTAATTTTATTTATCTAAATGTAGTCTTATGTCTGTTTTTATCTTTTTTTTTTTTAAACTTATTCTTTATTATCAGAAAAAGGTATAATTACCTGTAATGTATGATTGTTATTATTAAATTTTTATACTAGAAATTTCATTTCCATTGCATAATATTTCCTATACTATGTACGCTCTAAATATTGTATAATGGGATAACTTCCTCAATTAATTACTAAACTGATACATGAGAAGCTAGTTACCCTTTAAACTTGTTAATCTAAGCTAGAACTTTAACATAACTAATAGAAATATTTTAAATAGATTTGATTTAGGCCAGGAAATCCTTGATTATGTACCCCAATTTTCTAAATATCCTCTATTAAAATGTTTTATCACAAGAGGAATTTGTTTTGATATAGATTTAAAATATTACTCCTAAAAAGATTTGTGTGCGAGTTGAAGTATTTATTTAAAATACTCTACTACAAGGAAAAACTACACCTACAATTATATTTATTTATTTTTTTATTTATTTAATTCAATTGATTAACAAATAATTACTTTCTTACTCTTTAACTTTCCTTTTGGCATTTATTTCCTCATAAGAATGTATGGAAAAAAAAAACTTTAAGACTCATGTAATTGCTGAGATTAATTCAAACTTATATAGAAATCCCTATAAGGTTTTAGTTTATACCAATAAAAGTTGTTTATATGTTGTAACTATCATTCTAGACAAGTAAGAGGACATGGAATACATTAAAATTAGCATTGTAAGCTTAAATATTTTTGTAAAAGAATAATTTTCTTTAATCCTAATATTTTAACAAACCATGAATATTAAATAAACACACCTTATTAGCTGTAATGACTAAGCCATTTTAAAATTAAATAAATATATTTTACAATTGTTCTGAATGACTTTGTAGAATTTTCTATAATAAAGGAAATTCCAGTTGAAATTGTCTATTTATGAAACTTTCCCCGAAAAATATCAGTTTTTTAAACACTAAAATTTATATTCTATTAATGTACTGTACCATGTAGTACTACTATATTCTAACGACATTTTTTTTTTATCAGTAAAATTAATTTTACTATTTATATAATACAGGAAAAATTCTGAAAAGTGAAATAGCAAACATTAATATTGTAATAAATTCATTATCAATAAAAATATCGAATTGATTATTGAAATATTAATTTGAAAAGATTCCAGCAGTAAATATTATTATTATTTAGAACGGAAATAATTGAATAAATAGAATGTTATAATGTGTTTAAGATCGTTAATAAATAGTATTATTAATCGATAATAATGAAAAAAAAAGCCGGAATATAATCTGTTATTAAAAAAAAATCTAACAATTCAAAAGTTTTAGGTAATTACGGGTTATATAACAAATTACTCTAACTTCACAATCGATTACATCAAAGTTTCTTTCTTTTTTTTTTTATTACTGAATGTGTTTCCTTAAAATGTTCCGCCAAGTAATTCATATTTCTATTTATTTATTTATTTTGGCAGCAGTTAAATTACATTTTTAGTATGAGAGATTGTATAAGTTACACTAACTAACGTTAAAACTGTTCATCGTTTGTTAGCTTTTATTTATAAATAGTTTTATGTGACAGTGAAATATTTGCTATATCTATTGTTTTGTTGTATTGTTTATATATCCATTCTCTTTTCTTGTTGTAATCCTTACTAGATAAACTATTATAAACCCTACCTTGTTCAAAATAATAATCCGATTATTAAAAAATAAGCTTTTATACAGGTGTTTTTTTTTTTGAGTAGGTCTATAGTTTTTTTTTTACTGACAGTTCAGTTTTTATGTTAGCATAAATCTTGAAATTTCGAATGGATTACAGCAAATAGATGTTATTAAATTCAGATTCATGTTTTATTCTATTTCTAATCTATTTGAAGATTAAGATTGGAGTTAAGTCAGAGGAAAACAGAAGAAAATATTCCTGTTCCTTATTTGTAAGAAAATATCAAATTCACAATAGAGCTATTATTATATATTATTAGATTATACTTTTTTTTTATAGATTATATATTATTTATAATTTAGAAAATAAATGATCNCCACAACTCTTGTGACGTCATCGGTTTTCATAAATATTTAATTTGGGCGTTTATTTTACTTTTAACGTGATGGACGACCGAAATAAATATTTAAATTTTAAAATATTTATGTAAAGATGTGTGTGAATGAGTTTTAACTAAACATGCTTAATGCTACGAGTGATTATTATTTTAAATGGTTTATTAATATTAGAAACGGAGAAGAAAGTATATGCCTATACAATAATTCTAATCGATTTGTTTCTTGTATTCGTGACATTGTCAGGTATTTATAACTATTGCAATCACGTAGCTACGCTCCATCTACCGGCGAGATTTGTAAACGGCGGAGTTACAGCTGGATAACTCGAAACACGAGATCGATCGATTAACGGATTAATGACCTATATTACATCAATGTGGATGCTGTCCAGAATCCGATTTAAACGATACCTCGCAGCTATTCCCTTGTCTGTAGCAATTTATATCACGTAGAATTAACCGAAACGTCACTAATCACGTTTAAGCTCTCGCGGAGTACAACGTCACTCCCCAATTTTCTAATTGGGTTAGTCTGTAAACGTCATCTTATTTGAAATTTTAAATGCTTGTTTAACGGTCGTGTTCTTCGAGAGTTATATTTATATTAGAAGTATTTAATATATTTTATCACGCCATTGTCTGTTATGAAAATATTTAATTCGAGGACAAATGAATTTGTTTTTCCTTTGTTTTATATTCTTTTAAAATGTATTCATTACCGTAACTATGTTTAATTGGTTCATTTGAATTTTTAATAAACGAAGTTCGTCGCGGCCATTGGCTAAAACTTAGTTTATGTAAAAAATTCGATTAGATTAATTAGAAAATGTATTCGAAATCACATTATGTACAATTCTGTTCAGTACATTTGCTCGATTTAAATTTCGCAAGGCTCTCCAATTTAAATATTTAAATGTTAAAAATAATAACATTTAATTAAACTAAAAATTATGTAAATTAATTCTTTCATTAAATTAATTATGCAATTAGGTCAACGAGTTTAAATTTTATGTAATAACGCTTGACAGTGAATGGTCAATGCTAATTATTTAGAAATGGTCAGTGAATTTGAAATTTTCTCATTTTCTATTTCTGACAATTTCATTTTCTATTTGTGAGTGATTATATAATGTATTTGATTAGGTTACGGGGTTATGTAAACGTTTAAACTGCATTAAATATGCAGAATCACTAAAATTTTCTTAAAGACGATTGGTTAAAATTCTAGCGATTAATTATATGATTTATTTTCAAACATTTTCAAATTAATTATTATCATTATCTTTGATTACAATAGATAAATTTTACAATAGATACAATTATTTTTAATCAAATCGACAATATCACGATGTTGCAATACATACAAAATCATCAAATTTAAATCCCATTGCTAGGTTATTAATTAAACTTAATGAATGCATAGTTTTAGAAACAATAAAATATCATTTTTTAAAAGTAAAATATGGAATTTAAATATAATTTTAAGCGTTAAAAAAGAAAATGTATAGGGAAAATCTGGCCGGTTTATAATGCCTTAATTCAAGGACATCAGCGCCGGTTATTCTCACACCACATGTTGACAATAATAAAGCGTGTTTTGTATACAATTACAGCGGATGTTCTATTTTATAAATAATTAGATATCTTTCTTGAATTTTATGCTGAAATTTTCGAATAATAGAGAGCAAATTTCAAAATCAATTGCTTTTTAATATTTTTATAAAAACATTAAATTTTCAAAATCTTATCAGAATATCAGAAAGATTAAAAATATGCGATAACTACATATTTTCTACAAGTTACAGGGTAAACATTAGAATAAATTCGAAATTGATTGACGCGATAGCGTTATGTCAAACACTATTTTTAACGCAAAGGTGCATTGACTTTAGTTGTGCCATCTGGTGTAAAGAAATGTACTTAACTTAAAGTTATATCTATTGTTTCCTTTCCTCTCATCAATGAGGCGAACTGTTTTTAAAATACATTACCAAACCTCGGCTTGACTGTACCGTAACGTATCAAATTAACGAGTGAATTATTATAATTTTTCGCTACTACTCCGTTCTTTATAGTGCTAATTGATTAAATATTTACAGCTTTTTAATTGGACGAAAGACGATTCAGAATTTTTATTTAGCGTTGATTGGTTCAATCTCTTTCAACCCTCGTTTAACTGTCAATTATTGACCTGTTCTCTATACTGTATTTGAATTTTTTTGAGTTTTTAAATAGCATTTTACTGTCTTACCGTATGGTCTAGATAATTCATAACTCAAATTGTGTATGAAACTTATACTGAATTTTTATTTCTTTTTATTATAAGCTGCCAGCTGGAAACCTTAACATTTTATAAAAACATGAAAATTTCATTCTCCGCGCAAAACGTATTAGAGTTAAACGAAAATTATATAAAATAATTTCGTTTTCGAAAGAGTTTTTTTTTGTTTTTTTTCCATATTCTATCAGCTAGTGTTTATCTAATCTCACCTGCCCTTCGTGCTTTTCTCATCCGTTAGATAACCGCAATGATAGAACGGAAATATTAAGCTGCGAAGGTGTCTGCAGGAAAGAAAAAAAAGTACACCAAAAAAAAACACGAGAGGCGCACAAAAACCACACTCTCGCGCGTTATCCTGGATATTTTACTTCCACATTCGACGCAATCCTACACCGTTAGTTATGTGATCTATTTGTTTCTAGAGGCCGCGTGACGTAAAGTTCTGTCCAGACACCCCGTCACGCGCACTTACCGAAATATAGGATTATCGATGTTATCCTCCCCTTAGAAAGTTGATAACCCCTATTGGGATAAAAATACCTGGTCGCGTGTGATATCTGAAACCACAAATGACGAAGGCCTAAACAACCGGAGCACGATCACGTGTTTTCAGAAGGCGACGTTCGCCATCTGTAAAAGAAAAAAAATAAACGGGATAAGAGGAAAAAACCGACTGGACTGCTTCGATCCGACGGTTATCGACCGTGCACACTGCTTCTCTGATCACGTGACGGGCAATCTCCACCAATCATATGTTTCCTCTCTAACGCTGTAGACGCCGTATGTGTGCGTGCGCTTGCGTATATGTTAGCACATAAGCCGTACGTCGAATCGTTTGCACACGTGTGCTTGTGTTTGTGTGCTGTGGACCGCAGCAAAATATCTTATTTCTGTGATTTAACTGGAGCGTGAAACTTATGGATAATCGGAAGTAGCCGGTTAAGAGGTATGTTTGAATCACGTGATTTATGGGTGTAATCTTACGGGACGTTCCATAATAACGTATAGAGAACTATTTGGCTCTCTCTAAATACCGTATGTACTGTACAGTACTTAGTGGACGGGCATTTATAATACTGTGTATAGCCTAAGTCTTATATAATTTCGACAGCATATATTTTTACAATACTGAAATCATATTTAGATCGATAGGGTTATAGAAATCTCTGCACGCATAATGCTATTAGAATACCAATACTGATTAGACCAAGTAATGGCGGAACGAATCGCATTATATACCATGTGCTTCTAGAAATATTTTCGTGTTAAGAAACTGAATCAACTTAAAGGCGCTTACGTGTTGAAAGTGCACGAAGTACGAGAATGTTCTAAATATTAAATACATTACAAATTACTATGGAAGAGCATCACAAAACGGCGTGTAACGGACATCTTTAAGGTAGGTTAAGTGACCTAAGATTTTCTCAGGGCTTAAAAATATGTCAAAATTATTTCGAAATAGGACATCTTTTCCTGTAAACCGATTGCACAACTGTCTATCTAACTAGTTTAACGAGGATGTATAAAAATCATTTATGGATAATTCGTCTATAAACAAGTCACGTGACGCAATGTCCCAAGGATCAGGTTTGTTTCTCGTACTCCATGACTTTGGTAAAGTATGTTATATCGGCTTTAAGATCTAAAATACTAGTAGAAAATGTTTAATAATGTATAACAAAGAATGTAGACGGAAAAAGTTTAGTTTTAAATGCAATTGCGCATTTCAATAGTGATTCCGATTATCACGATAACGAGATATCGAATTTTTTTTGATACGCAGAAAATCGAATTAAGCCTGAAAATAAAAATACAGATTCTAAGATGTGTTTGGGATAAATCAGATCTGTATAGGCCTATATATTATTTAATTCAGTTTAATTGTAATAGGAATCCTCGGTATGCAAATTCGTCTTATAACTTTGAAATATATCTCTTTAACATTGAATAATTCTAGAATTACATTCTCTTAAATATCCTACGAAATAAATAAACCGATTTCGCCAATCTTAAATTTCAAAATATTAAAATATATGCGACGGTATCTTAATTATAATTAAATCGTGAATGTTAATGACCATGAAAACTAGAAGCTGACCAATCAGTAATGGCACACGATTTATCGTTCTTGATAAGGAAAAGTGTTCTTAGCTAGTAGCAACGGATCGATATTCTGACTCCTAAATTCTTTTTTTTTCATTATTTAAAATAATATAATAACTCCGAAACGGACTTGTCGTTCGAAGTTTGAGAAAAAGAAAGTTAGAAACCTCGAAAAACACAAAAAACAAACAGTTTACTGGGTCTTCAGCAATTTCCGAATCACGTGACTAGTGTTTCTCTTCTACGGTTGCCAATAGCGACGGAATGCAGCCAATGAGAGAACGTCGAAAATCGGTGTCGGAAGTAGCTAAACGGAAATGATAAAATAAGCGCGGGAGCACCTTTTATATATATATATTTTTTTTTCTCCTATCGCGCGTGAAAAGGACGTTTCGCTACATCTGTAAACAACATATGTTAGGCGTGTTTTGCATAGTCACTATGTTTTATATGTTCTGTGACGTGTTAAAATTCTAACGTCGAGTATAAATCTTCGGTTATAATAAAATCTATTAAAAGTTACTTCGGTTAATATTTTTTTAGGCAATTTTATTTTTAAGAAATCAATAATTGTCGATATTTCATGTCTGAACTTTTATTATTTATTTTTTAAAATATATGTTGTAGTTATAGTCTTATGCTTCTCAAGTTGTTCTACTTTAATGCAACATTAGTATATTATATCATGAAATATCTTCGACATACGACATAGACTATTGCTTCCGAAGTTCTACGTGAAAACGCATTTTCCGTGTGCCCTATGCTATGTATTCTTTGCACTTTGTACAGTACATTCGTATTCTTTGTATATCAAAAGTTTTCTGCACATAATATTGTGTTTCGTATATTTTGCATGTAGTGCGAAGTCCTTGTATTTCGTACTATTACAATTTAAGTGTTATTTACATATTTTTACTTGTTCTATACGCTTTCGTATGATAATATATATATTCTCTTTATGTATTTCTTTGTGTTTCATATATTATTCAGTTTTATATTCTACGAGAATATTGCAATCAGACCATATAAAACTGAAATATAAAATTGTTTATGACAATAATAATGTTGTCATAATGAAGGAACTTGTAGAATTCATAAAATCGCACTTAACTGTCTCCTTTTAAGATAACAAAGTTGATCGAACTATGAAAATTTTCTGTTATGATACTGTAATAACATTAAATCTAAGTTTATGAGAATAAAATATCGATTTAAGCGCTCGGTATTCTACAATTTTGGAAAATGTGTGTTACGAATGCTTCTACGAGTAAATTGATAAATATAAGTTACATATTGAATAAATTATTCATTAAATATTCTTGTAATAATAATTTCTCAATCATGAGTAGATATCTCCATTATTTCAGAGAAATTTCATATATTTCATAAAATTAACTGTAATTATAGGGAGGAAAATATGACGTAAGCACAATCAAAATGCAAATTCTTGTTAGATAATGTTTTTTAATTAACATTCTTTAAATGTTTTGTCGATATTTATTAACAGTTGTAAATCTCAATTACTATTTCAATATCAAATATTTAAAAGATGGATTTATTTCAGAATAAAAACAATCAAGTTTCTAGCTTTTACAGCATATCTTTATGTGTAATATGTTTATTTAATATTAACTCTACCACCGTAACGACAAAATTAACGTAAGAAGAGAATCATCAAAGGATTTAGAATTCGTTTAATATTTTAATGCAAATAATAGAATAAATCGAAATTCTCTAAAAACTATTATCTTATAGGAGATAACTCTTGTAAGCATGTTTATCGCTACACGAATAAATGAATAATAATTTCAAGTCCTTCAAGACACGTAAACACACTTTTTATTAAACAACTAGAGGCAATTTATGTCGATCTGCATTGTAGAATGGCGCAAAATGTACTGCCGTAGGATAAGAAGAAGAGAAAAATAGATTGTTACAACTTTAAAATGGAAGCACGAATAAGAAACAGGTTTATAGCGGTAGATGTACGAATACTGCCATGAATATATTTATTACTTTAAAACCATTATATAAACTACATTATATAGTTCATAACGTGTTTTAATATTTAAAAAAGTAAATAGAAAAATAAAAATTTAATAGGAACTATATTAATATAAAACTAATAAGTAGGATCGGTTTGTCATTCGATATTATAATGACATTTCAATTTGATATAGCGCTCTTATTTTGTTATAAGAATACGCGCTACAAGAATAAATTGCTGTCAGACGGAATGATTGATTTTTTTTCATAGCGTCGTCTAAAACCTTTCTCTAAAGAATGGATCGCTTCTCAGTTCTATTTATGCTAACAGATCTCAGTTCTATTGACTGCATAACCCGCGCGAATTCTTACTCAATAGAAAAACGGATTCAATTCCCGCACATGGAGTTACGAGTTACGCAAGAGGTTCACCTTCAAAGGACAACTAAACCCGTTCTGTTAATTATTTTCCATTTTACATTCTGACCTATTTATACTTCCTCGCAAATCACACGAGTTATGCCTATTCTTTGAGATCCTTACGTTCTACTTTAAGCGTAATATTTGCACGATTCTCAATACTGTATCTCGATAGAAAACAATAGAAACACGTAACTCTGATACCTATTAAGATCGAAAATCATTAAATCGCAATTACGTGATTTAGATTCGAAATTTTAACACGTAAAAGCGTATTAACATGATCAGCATTTCATTCCCTGATTAAACACGTTGCTGTTTGAAGTTACAAGCGTAGCCAAGCACTCTCAAGTGGATGTTTACCAAAAGGCGAGAACGAGAAAACATTCAGCTGTTCCCGTCATGTGACAGAAAGCTATAAAGTATACCGCATTTTAATTGGCAGCTTGGCAGATGCTAACGAGTAAACGAACATCTGTTATCGAGATTTGTATTATTCATCGTTTGATTATTTCACTAAAAGCGATCGTCATTGGCTCACGATAATGCGTCGTTCACGTGAACGCAGTTCATGACCCCTCAGTTATAGAATGTGAGAGTTGAGAAAAAGGTAATAATAAAATATAATCATTGACAAATAAGTGAAATGCCATTCGAAAATTTCACGAATCTATGCCAAGAAAACAACAGGAAAAAAAAAAAAGCCGAGATGCCAAACGAGATCGTCAATCGTTTCCTTATTTAGAGGAAAACTTCGTTATTTATAGAAATGTCATATCGATCGCGTGAAAATACTTTACTGATCGATTAATCGAACGAAAAAAAAAAGAAAGAGTGAATAATAAAGGCAATTTATTCTGCGATTTGACTTTAGAACATCAACGACGTCACGCGTGTATAAAGAAAAAGTCACGTGCAAAATACCCTTAGCGATAATCGCGCGTACGTTCGCGGAAATCGCGCGATTTGCGTTTCATCACGGCTTTTATACCAGAAATCGATGACCCTCTTAACATGAATTTCATCCCGAGTGGTAAAATGGATCACGTTTAACTTACAGATGTCTCGTATAGATTTGCAGACACTCGAGCTGTATTTTTCTACTGCGTGAATGATATCGCGTAATGTGACGCTTTTTTAAAGTCGCTCCAGTTCAATCGAGAGTTGAATAATGGTAATCACGTGACAGCCAGTCCAATTCGGGTGAGAGTGATGTCGTCATAGCAACCACCACCACGAAATATTTGGAGATTAGAGATTATTTTCTCATAAAACATCGGAGTAACGCGTTTATAGTCGAAAAATACGGTTACTGACACACGAATCGATTTTTAAAAGTTCATTGGCGCCATCTTTTGTCCAATTAAGAAAATATTAAAAAAAAAATTTATTTAACAATTTTTACGACCTTTATAATTCACATAAAAAAAGTTTATAAGGAAAAAAAAACTTTTAATTGATGAATAATTAATTAATTAAATAAATCACTGAAGCCGAATAGATTACGTCATCTTTTCGTTGAGTCACGATTAATCCAAACAAATATTATAAATTAGTAATAAATTAAACAATATTTAATTTACAATAATTATAATAAGTAACTTTCGCAAGAAAATACAATTAAAAAATATTAATGAATAAAAATCACGTTTCATATCAAAGTTAAAGTAAGTTTTAAATACATTAAATCATAATTATTTGCAACTTAATTAGCGAAAAATATAATTTTAAGCTTTAATAATTGTAGAATAATAAAATCTGTTTATGAAAGAATGGCTTATTAACCCGGTATTCTATATAACAACACGCGACAGTAATTCTGTTTTCTTGCCGTAACAGTTACGGAACTGCGCTATTATTCGTTTTGTTCCGCATTGAAACAAGTAAAAATAATTTATTTTAAGATTAAACCTGAATTGAGAATCTCAGCAAAGTTTACAATTAAAAAAAATAATAATAAATAGCTAATATTATCCTTTATGTAAGACTTAATCCATTTTATGAACTAATTTTTAGATTAGAAAAATTTTCATTTTAAGAGAGATAAACATTGAAACCAACTGTAATTTTGTTCACTGATAATTTATCTCTTATAAATTATTCGTGCTTTAAAAAGTTTTAAGGCGTAAAAAAGTTGTTATTACATAATTTCATCAATGGTAAAATTATAATTAGGGTTTACACAATTGAAGTTTTGCTCACAGCTCGTGTTAACTGATGTGTGTACACGTTACTTAGAAATGGAAAATGATTTGTAATTCTTCTCCTTTGACCCAATCATTTAATAAGGGTTGTTGTTCTATACAAGTCACTAGAGCCAAGTACTACCTCTGCAGAAACATGCCATCGTCTAAAATGTCATTTCGTTTTCGCATTTCGTGTATATGTGTCGTAAGTAATCGTAAATATAACTTTTTAACCTCTTCGCTGATTTGGCAAACTCTTCCTGTTTCTAAAAAAAAATATATATATATATTATGGCTATTTAGAATAGATTTCATTTCATATAGGTTTATTTGGATCTAAAAAATCTTTGTTATTGTTGTAGTGATATTTAAATTTTTAAATTCGTCCGATAATGGAGACGAAACCTAATTATTTTTCATCTAAGGAGAAAACTGAAAACTAAAGTTAATGAATTTTGTCTATTTTCATTTGTATTTTGTGATTAGAAATGGAAAATACGAACCGAATGCTCATTAAAAAGGATTTTCAAATGTTTTCAAATATAACAATTTGCTTTTTATTGGTCGCCATCTGTCACGTGATTCAACTGCACTAACTATATTGGTTATTTCTTTTCAGTTTCTCCAATAGCCTCGCTGGTTATGGAACACGTGATATTTTTTTTTTCGAGTTTAAAAATGAGAGTAACATTGCAGGGACATTAAACATCGTTTATGCATTCTACGAATGTAGGAAAAATTCCAATAAAATTAAAATAGTCAACAAAATCAAGATAAAAATGCGTATAAATTAATAAAAAATTTCACGAGCATTAGATACACTGTTTAAAACTGTTTTCTGGATCTGTCCTTAGTCTCTATTTGTGTCTAGTGACAGATATAGCCTCTTAATTCCGGTCCAAGCGACGGCAGCGCCAGAAGGGTCGACGTCAGTCGAATTGTAGAAGAGATCGGCTGTGGTAGTGCAACACATCCTCAGCCGATCTCCACATGGCGACCAACAAGGTATGTAACTCTTTCCATAATTCACTTCCCATAGACGTAACATTCGATAAAAACGACCGGAAACAAGTTTTTTGCGGTTGCATCCTTTACAGATGCGGTATTCTAACATATATATACATTTTCGTCACGTGGCATATTTGGATAACTAATCGATTATCAAGTCGGACTAGTTGACGCCACAAAAATTGACTTATTTTCTCGCAAAAATAAAAAAAAATAAAAAAAAAACTTGCAAGAAGAATGCAAGATTCTGTTTTCTTATTATCTCGAGTGTGTATATTTTGTGAGGGTAGTTTAGGGTGTAATTTGTTTTTAAAGGGTATTAAACATTTTCTCGTGTTATGTGAATTACGCTAATGTTTATCAGTTGCCATTCTTTCGTTAATTGCGATTTTATTACACTTATCACAACTTTAAAATACGTTTTTTTTTATTATTACCACTTTATAAAGTCATTACAATGTGAAACATTGTTAAAAATTAAACATTTAATAAGTTAATAGCGAATTCTTGTGGAGCAGAAGAATTTTTCTTCGATAACTCCGTGAGCAAACAGGATTAACTGTTAATCTTTCTAAGGAGATTGCTAACGTTCAAACAATACAAAATGTATTTGTATTCACTGCTAACTGTTTTAAATATATATATATATATGTAATATGTACTCGTATAAAAACATTTAAAGGTCAATATTATGAAATCTTTAAGAATCGTAATTTTTCCAATGTCAAACTTGTGTATATTTTGTATCAAGCTGTACAGGTGTCTACTCCCTGTGTTACTCAACTGGCTGATTTGGCATAGTGACTTAACAAGCTGTAGATGTTTACAAAGACAATCAGATTTAGAGATTTCCGGTGTTGTGCTTGGCCACGCGAAAAAGACTAGAATAGATATCTATGCTACATCTTGAAGATGAAACCTAACATTGACTTTAGTAATCTTTATTTTGAACTTTGGAAATAATCCAAAAATATAAACAAATTATAAAATATAATGCCACGAATATCCAAATGTTTATTTATTAAACAAGGAGGTTTTATTTTATATACTTGTGCCGTCTTTTAAATAGTTTCTATTTTTTTGTCTTTTCTTATTATTTTTACTTTGAGTAATGAGTTTGTCCGCTTAAAAGTCATTCAGACGAAGGTATAATATTTATAACATCGTATTCAATGATGCACGTGCGTGTAGTGTTTACTATCAGCGATCTGTTTACCTATCGGTCGACTCAACATCCTTACGTTTAAGTAACATATACATCTATATTAATCCATGTCATTTATTAATTTTCAGGATCCATCGTTAGTGATACCAAAAATCATCACCGAAGACGTGGATAAAATGGCAGCGGACAACGACTGCTATCTGGGTCCACCATCCTCTAAGAACAGAACTCGATCCCTTTCAGGTGGCACCTATCGTCTCGCACCTCTTCCTCTAAGGGATGCACTGACAAACAGAATGAGAAGACAATCCGGTGATGACGTATTAACGGGAATTAGCCCCTCTAGAAGAGCAGCGTTATTAGATGCTTTCCGTCCTCGTTCAAAATCCGATAGTAAGAGTAAACGTCCCACATTTATTGCTACATTAAAGAACTCATTAGGGAATAGTTCTCCCAAGAATAGTACTCAAACGCTTCCAGCTTCTAATAATCATTTAGATCCTTTTGCACAAGCTGGAGATTTTAAAAGACCACGTTCCGGTTCTGAAAGTAAGACTTCCGGGCCAGTTTCCAAAGTTATCGAAATGTTTCGTGGCAGATCTCACTCCATGACATCAGATTTAAGGCTGAAGGTAGGTACTATTTCATTTGGTAAATTTAAATTTATGATTATTTATCCTCACAGTATTTACTACGTGAAAATGTCTAATAATCAATAATGATTTTAAATACTAAGCCCTGTTTATTTAATAAATTAAATTTTAATTTTCTACACGAGGTTACATACTTAGTATTAGTGTCATTGTCACCTACTTGAGATTAACGTTTTAAGTAGTTATTTTAAGATAACAGCTTTGTTTCGTTGTTGCTAATGGGTACATTGATATATGCTGTACATTTACGTCATAGAAGAACGTAACTATTAACTAAATTTGGAGTACTTAAAAGTTTAAAAACGAGCACCAAAACTTTTAAAAACTCATTTTAATCACATATAATAGAAAATTTAATAGATTATTATTAAAAGAAAAATACTTTTACACGATGTTTAACTTAACTTTTTTTAAAAAAAAAAAAAAAAAAATGAAAATTTTTCTTCTTCAATAGATGACAGCATTTTTTNTTTAAAAAAAAAAAAAAAAAACTTAAAATTTTTCTTCTTCAATAGATGACAGCATTTTTTATTTTCATAAAATTGGTCCAAATATAGTTATTTTTATTAATTTATAATACATATATATGTTAATTGAATATGTATAAGAACGATAAAACTCATTCTAATATTCCTTCTACTTATTAAACTGGCGCTTGTATAATGAAAATAAAAAAAGACTAAACAAAATTAAACATCTTAAAAGAAAGAATAGCGTGGCATTATATACAAAAGAACGTGTTCAGTAACTACTTCTTCAAATGTTAATTTATTTCAATGGTGACGTCACAATCCCCAACCAATTGGAGATAATCAAAATTGTATATGATAAAACAACTGCGGAGTATATAAAGTATGTTAGAAGTGCGCTCGGTTATGAATATTGGAAGCAGAACTCGAGTAAAAGACAAAAAATTAGTTACATAATTATAACATTATTAAGAAAAACGCAATGTCAACTCATTCCGACAATTATCAACAACTAAGGAGTCTGTCATTAGATTCTTATAATCTTGGTAATCAGTTAAGGAAATTGTGGAAGGTAAGTAAGAAGTTATTTTGTATTATTTTGAAAACTAATTTTTAATTATATGTATTATTAAACGTGTTATTTAGAAATATTTAAATATTTTTAAGTTAAGAAATATGCTTACCGTTTAGCAGACACAAGGACGGCGTGTGACTTTTGTATCTTTTAAGGAACAATTGCATTTTTCTTAAGTATGACATATGAATCACCTTTGGTCTCTGCTCGTTTTCCTTTATTATTGTTTACTGCTGAATTTTTTTTTTTTTTAAATTAATTGCATTTCTGAAAGGGAACAAAAGATATAGAAAAGAGGAAAAATCGCTTAATTTAGTTGACATTTAAATTTAAAATAAATTTTATTAAATATTTTTATGTATTTTTAAATAATCTTTGGACTTGGTTTATCCTGGACTGTGTGATAAAATAACAACATTATCTTAATTTTATTTATCTAAATGTAGTCTTATGTCTGTTTTTATCTTTTTTTTTTTTAAACTTATTCTTTATTATCAGAAAAAGGTATAATTACCTGTAATGTATGATTGTTATTATTAAATTTTTATACTAGAAATTTCATTTCCATTGCATAATATTTCCTATACTATGTACGCTCTAAATATTGTATAATGGGATAACTTCCTCAATTAATTACTAAACTGATACATGAGAAGCTAGTTACCCTTTAAACTTGTTAATCTAAGCTAGAACTTTAACATAACTAATAGAAATATTTTAAATAGATTTGATTTAGGCCAGGAAATCCTTGATTATGTATCCCAATTTTCTAAATATCCTCTATTAAAATGTTTTATCACAAGAGGAATTTGTTTTGATATAGATTTAAAATATTACTCCTAAAAAGATTTGTGTGCGAGTTGAAGTATTTATTTAAAATACTCTACTACAAGGAAAAACTACACCTACAATTATATTTATTTATTTTTTTATTTATTTAATTCAATTGATTAACAAATAATTACTTTCTTACTCTTTAACTTTCCTTTTGGCATTTATTTCCTCATAAGAATGTATGGAAAAAAAAAACTTTAAGACTCATGTAATTGCTGAGATTAATTCAAACTTATATAGAAATCCCTATAAGGTTTTAGTTTATACCAATAAAAGTTGTTTATATGTTGTAACTATCATTCTAGACAAGTAAGAGGACATGGAATACATTAAAATTAGCATTGTAAGCTTAAATATTTTTGTAAAAGAATAATTTTCTTTAATCCTAATATTTTAACAAACCATGAATATTAAATAAACACACCTTATTAGCTGTAATGACTAAGCCATTTTAAAATTAAATAAATATATTTTACAATTGTTCTGAATGACTTTGTAGAATTTTCTATAATAAAGGAAATTCCAGTTGAAATTGTCTATTTATGAAACTTTCCCCGAAAAATATCAGTTTTTTAAACACTAAAATTTATATTCTATTAATGTACTGTACCATGTAGTACTACTATATTCTAACGACATTTTTTTTTTATCAGTAAAATTAATTTTACTATTTATATAATACAGGAAAAATTCTGAAAAGTGAAATAGCAAACATTAATATTGTAATAAATTCATTATCAATAAAAATATCGAATTGATTATTGAAATATTAATTTGAAAAGATTCCAGCAGTAAATATTATTATTATTTAGAACGGAAATAATTGAATAAATAGAATGTTATAATGTGTTTAAGATCGTTAATAAATAGTATTATTAATCGATAATAATGAAAAAAAAAGCCGGAATATAATCTGTTATTAAAAAAAAATCTAACAATTCAAAAGTTTTAGGTAATTACGGGTTATATAACAAATTACTCTAACTTCACAATCGATTACATCAAAGTTTCTTTCTTTTTTTTATTACTGAATGTGTTTCCTTAAAATGTTCCGCCAAGTAATTCATATTTCTATTTATTTATTTATTTTGGCAGCAGTTAAATTACATTTTTAGTATGAGAGATTGTATAAGTTACACTAACTAACGTTAAAACTGTTCATCGTTTGTTAGCTTTTATTTATAAATAGTTTTATGTGACAGTGAAATATTTGCTATATCTATTGTTTTGTTGTATTGTTTATATATCCATTCTCTTTTCTTGTTGTAATCCTTACTAGATAAACTATTATAAACCCTACCTTGTTCAAAATAATAATCCGATTATTAAAAAATAAGCTTTTATACAGGTGTTTTTTTTTGAGTAGGTCTATAGTTTTTTTTTTACTGACAGTTCAGTTTTTATGTTAGCATAAATCTTGAAATTTCGAATGGATTACAGCAAATAGATGTTATTAAATTCAGATTCATGTTTTATTCTATTTCTAATCTATTTGAAGATTAAGATTGGAGTTAAGTCAGAGGAAAACAGAAGAAAATATTCCTGTTCCTTATTTGTAAGAAAATATCAAATTCACAATAGAGCTATTATTATATATTATTAGATTATACTTTTTTTTTATAGATTATATATTATTTATAATTTAGAAAATAAATGATCAAACATTTCGTAATTGATTCCAAAGTTTGGATTAAACGGTAGGCCTATATTCGTTTATAATATCATGAATTGACGAAATAAATCTATTCGCATTTCTTAACGTCTTAAAATTTGAATATACAGTGGAACCGGTTTTGCAAAAATCTTGTCTCGGATAACGGACAAAATTCGGATAACGAACTTAACGTTTTTTTTTTTTTTGTGTCAAATTTGTAAGCTTGCCGACTTTTATGGGGAATTTTCAGTTAATCGTGCGTCGGTGATGGTCTAGGGTCCATTCGTACGTTGGTGATGGCGGAGGAGATAAAGATGACAAGTATTTTACAGTGAAAATCGTTTATTAGAACAGGAAGATGCTTACATATTTGAGGTAATTGGAAATGGTTTATCTATAGTATTTTTTTCCGGCACTGAGAAGCGGCGTATCGCTGGTCCTACAATAGTGCAAGGTGATCAGTCGTAGCCCCGGAGCGGACGAGATGGATTCACTCGGTCACAGAAGCGATGGTAGGTGATGGAGCTGCGGCGATTGGAGCGGTCCGCGAGACACAAAACAAATTTCAGCGGGCACGACTTCAGGCTTAATCCAGATGAAGACGACACAGATTAATCGCCGTAGAATTTTAAGGAGAACTGCGTTTTGACCTTGAGATTCGGAGTTTTTATAGTATTTCTTCCTTGAATCTCACCTTTTGATTGGTCCTGCGTCCCATTCCTCGTTTCCCGATTGTTTTCTTTGTCTCCAGGTAAAAACCAAAACCAGATCAGATCACGGAAAAAGTCCGTTCTAAGGCGTCTATTTGATACCTGTTCATCGAGTCTGATCGGAGATTGTTGAAAAACCTATAAGCCTTGCGCTCATAATTTAGCCCATTGTTACTACTATTTGTCATTTTAGAACTTCAACGACCGTATGCGATGTTTTTATACCCGTCAAATCTTTCCTCTTTTCCGAAAATTTAACCTAGATCGACTGTTTATGAGCGCGTTTTCCTATATTTTCATCAAAGAAAACCCATTTTACAAATAAAATTACAAAAATACCGGCTGCTAGAACGGATAAAATGTATTTACATTAATTTCTATGGGAAAAATTGCTTCGGTTAACGAACGAAGTTGCGGAACGGATTAAGTTCGTTAACCGAGGTTCCACTGTATTTTATAGAAAAATATTTCTATATTCTAAAATACATTCATTAAAATACAGAGTTACTCTGTACGCCTAGGAGTGCACATGCAATTTTCTGTGCGCGGATAATGGGCATGCAAAGGTTAAAGATTAAATTAAAGCTCGTATTAGGAAATTATATCGTTAGGAGAAAGTTAGGTTAGCTACTTTAAATGTAAGAACGTTAAGTGGAAAATGTTCGGATATCGAAAAATACGAGAGTTAATATAACATGCATATAGAATACTACAGTAGACAAAAGGCCAATAAACAATGGACATAGGAGAAGGATATAAAATATATGCAGGAGGGATATTAGAGAAAGGAATAGTAATTCTGTATTAGACAGGAAATTTAGAGATAATGTAGTCTCAATAAATAAGGATAATGACGGGATAATTCATGTAATTCAGTATTATAAGTGTCTACCCACCTCAGGTTGATTTAGTAAGGAAGAATTTAGAGATAAATTTGACAAGGTCATCAATAGCATAGATAGAAATGAAAGGATAGCTGTATGAGTTTTTAATGCACATATAGGTAGGGATAGAGTAGAATATGAAAACATTCTTCTCTGTGTTGAAACCGTGTCCTTCTTTAAATTATATTAAATTATTACATAAGAAAATAAAGTGGATGTGAAAAAGTCCAGTATTTAGTATTAACACTTCATGCTGTCTCAAAATATAATAATGAAAACATTCATGGAGGAGTACGTTTTGGAGAAAGGGATGGAGAGGGAAAAATTGTATTAGACTCGGCTTTAGACAATTCACAAGTTAGCAATTTGAAAATACTAATTTTCAAAGGAAAAAAAAAAGAGAGAGATAGAGAATGGGGAACATTTGATAACGTAAACGTAGTGTGGGCAAAGCGTTGATCGATTTATTTTTGGTAAGCAGGAAATACTTGCGCATGTGCAGGAACTATGAACTGTAAAGTTATTCCAAGTGAGATAGTTGGAGTCGGCTTATATTAGTTTTGTTAGACTTAAAAGTGTTAAAGTTCAGTAAAAAAGTATACCAAAAAAGCAATTAAGTAATGGAGATTGAAAGAGAAATATGAAGGTGTTCAAGATTGAGTTGAAGGAAGAGACTTTGTTGGAAAAACAGGGCTAGTGTGGAATATAGTTGTTTCAAAAGGTTAGGAAATATGCAAAAAACTATTTTGGATATCACAAAATAGAAAAAAAAAACAGTAGGCAAGGAAACATACTGGTGAAATAAAAAAAATTGAGAGACAATAAGAAAGAAGAAACAAGGTCTTTAGAAAATTTGAACTGAACAGAGACGCGCGCAGTAAATCAGAATACAAAATAGCAAAAAGGCAGGCAAGGAAGAAAGTAGCTAGTAGTGAAATACATAGTAAATTAAATGAAAGTTATGAGTTAGATGGTAAGGAGAGGGCAAAGGACATAGGCTATATAAAATAGCAAGGCTTACGAAAAAGAAAGGTAGAGATATAATAAAAGATAGGTTTACTGAAAGGATAAGATATTAATGAAAGGAAGGGATGTAAAGAGCAGGTGGATGAAATACATTGGTAAGCTTCTAAATGAAGGTGCAGGTTTAAAAGGAGCTGAAATATAAAAGTTAGAAAAATTACGTTTGAAAATTTAATAAGTTATAACAAATAGTGTAGTTTGTGAAGCTTTAAGAAACATTAACAGTAAGAAATCTAAAGGATCAGATTGGATCCTTCCTTGTTAACATGTGAAAAATTTTAGGTGAACGAGGAATAAAATGGTTAGTTCAATTATTTAATAGGCTAGCAATACGGGATCCGATGTCAGAGGAATGAAGAAAGAGCTAAGTATTATATAACGGAGAAGGATGTGGCCATGGAAGTTACATAGGAGCAAAAATTGATGAATCATACAATGAAGTTATAGGAAAAGATCATAGGTTAGAAATAGGACTAGTATAATTAGGAACAGTTTAGATTTATGCAAGGTAGATCAGCTATGAAACCATTCTTTGTAGTCTGACAACTGATAAAAAAAAAAAATAAAATGTAGCTATGCTAAGAGAGACTTGAACATAATATTTACAAATTTTAAAAAAAAGCTTATATATAAAATTATCAAATTTATACACATTTCACACTTCCATTTAAAATTTTATTAATATTTGTGTAATGTTCCTATTCTTCTAAATAAAACGTAATGAAATCTTCCAAATAAAACCTTGTAGACAAATGAATACTCTCATTATATTCACATCTTATCATCTAGAAGTCTTATATGGCCAGTGACGGATTAACACTTTCCGGAGTCCCTAGGCAAAGACGATTCGGGACCCCACTCTACATAATTTTACGACACAATAAAGTAATAATGTCTAACTGTAGCTATAGAATTATTTATAAATTGATATATTATTGCAACTGTGAAACTGTTTTGTTTTTTGTTTCCAATTTCGGAATCCTCGAGACTTGGATCCAGACACATGCCTCACGTGCCTAGTGAGTAATCCAGCATCGTATATGGAAGGTACTTAGGAAGAAGGGAATAGGAAAAAAGTAGTAAAAGATATGTATAAGAGGTTGGAGTCTCGAGTTAAGGCTGGTCATAACATCTTTGGTTGCATACGCGGTCTCTAGTAGATGGCGTTAAAAATTTAATGCTTTTTCTATGGGAAAGTCCTTTTCAAAACTTCTTGAAAACGGAAGTAGTTAGAACCAAACATTACAGTTTTTTTACGTTAGAATTCTATTTAATTCTTCCATTAACGTACGATTCAGAATATTTTAAATCGAATTCTTTAATTTTCTACGAATTTTTAATCACAGAATTTAACTTTAATTTAATTTTTTGAAAAGGATTTTCCATAGAATAGCATTAAAATTTTATGCTATCAGTTGGAGATCGCGTGCACAACCAAAAAGGTTGAAATCAGCCATAACACAAAGTAGAGATAAAGGAAACTTCAGTGATATAATTAGGTGTCCACAAGATTCAGTATTAAGTAAATATCTTTTTATCTTAGTGATAAATGAACTGTTAGAGGGTATAATGAAGAAAGAATCATGGTGCATGCTATTAGCGGATGATATCTTCACTAACTAAAACTAAATTTATAAGGAAGGAGTGATAAAGAAGATAGAAGAAGATAAAGAATTTAGATTAGAGAATGAAGGATTAAAGATTAATAGAGAGAAAACAGAGTTACATACACTTTAGTGGTAAAGAGAGTATGGAGTAGTTATTGGAGGTAGGGAAATAGAGTAAAGAAATTTAAATAATTAGAATTGATGTTAAAGAGTAAAGTTAGATACAGAAATAGCAAACAGAATAGATGTAAGGTGGCAAAAAATGGCAAAATCAAGTAGAATAGTGCTTTGAAGTGCCAAGGCTGCGGGAACTATGAAGTAGGTAATCTCTTTAAAAAATATAACTCCTAACTTATAGTGCAGCAATACCCATATGCACTATATATAATACATACTTTCGCTTTAATCTGGTAAACTTAAGTACTGTTCTTTCTTTTTACACGTAAACTGTGGCTAATAGTGATGGCTGAAGAGAGAAAAATACAAAGTCATTCGTTATAAACTCGTTCTCTTTTTATCGTGTTTACGTCTTAATTTTTTAATGTGTCCCTTTGTCTCTTGCATTATCACATAATGTAAACCTATTTTTAACAGCTTAAATTAATGATAATCACCTACGTTAAGCTTGGAATAGCGGGAAAATTAAAATGATAAAGTTGAAGGTGTTCATGAAGGTAGTCCTATTCATACGGAGCCTATTTATAGACCACAATTTTTTAAGCTTGTCATTCATTTATTAATCCAGCCTCAGTTCAGTGATTTATCCAGGCTTCGGGACTAGTGCTTTATCCAGGCTTCGGGACTAGTGCTTTGTAATAAAAGAGGTATCAGTTAGATAAAACAAAGCTTTATAAGACAGTTATTAAGCTTCAGAATTGATGTTAAAGAGTAAAGTTGCATGGATCTTAATGTTAGGGAATGAAGAAATCCAGGGTGAAACAGATACAGATACAGAAATGAGGACATTTAGGCTTAGCTGATGGGATTAGGAATGAGCATTTAATGGGTAGTTTAGGAATAAGGAATATTAAAGAGAAGTTTATGGAAAATAGATGGCTTGGGGATGTGTTAGAAGAGGATAGGCTGAATTTAGGAACAGATGGGACTAATAGAAATAAGAGATAGGCCAAAGAAAAGTTGGGAATTAGAAATTAAGAAGATTTAAAGAAGTTACAGTCAAATGAGGAGATAGCTAAAAAAAGGTTAGTTTGAAAGGCTAGCATGTCAAGACCTGATTCCTCTGAGGGTAAAGAGACGGACAATGATCATGATCACGATAATATAGATAATACGAAATCACATTAAAGACGAGCGATTATTTATTGTGACATCGTCACAATGCCGGGCTGCAATTTTTAATCATATTTTTAATTTATTTAATTTAAAATATATGCTCTCCATCTCAAATTAGTAGTGTTTTACCCCTGTACATCATACTTTTCCTTTAACAATACAGTCGTCCGGTCATCTATTAATAGCTTTCAGGGGAAGTTTTGAATTGAAATAACATGACTTTCGGTTTGCTTCGGATGTTCGTATTTAGTTAATCGAGGTTCCTGCCCCCAAGATTTCCATATCTGGTCTCTGATTTCATCTATCTTACTCCGTTCTTGAGATTAAAGAAAGACGGACAGACGGACGGATGACAGTTGGAATTGATAGAACTATAGTTTTTTCAAATTGCAGCCCAACAATATGATCACAATAAGAAAATCAAAACAAAAATTTGATAAAGAGCAGTAAATAAATAATCACACTAAATAGTGAATAGTTCCAATACGTTAACGTTAACGTTACTAAATTCATTTACTCGAAATTTAACCTGTACTATAGAGTAAAAACTATAGTATTCTGCAGATGCATTACACTCAAACGGATATAATTTAAGACGAAAGGCCGCATTAACCGAACTCTTAGTAAATTCATTAACATTATATCTATTGGTCCAAATAGTTTAGAAACTGCAATGCTAACTGAATGACAAAACGCTTATTTCTATGAACTGTATGATGAACATAAACCATAACGAAGAGATTAACTATCATATTAAAATTATATCTGCTATTTAACTTAAAATGATAATTTGAACCAAATCTTAAAGGGATGAAGAATATCGTGTTTAAAGTATCCATAATGATTAGCGTTTAATAAAAGTATCACTAAGAAGTTCAATTCTTAGACGTAGGAAAAGTACATAAGACGATAAATGAATCGATAGGCCTACTATTTCACTAAACTCTAATCAATTTGCGAACTTGTTCTCCGATTAACTTGTCAATGATTTTAGGCATAACTCACGTATTACAAAGCTAAAATTTCACATGAAAATATCGTACTATAGTGTCTGATATTCGAATATTACTCATTTTTGATAACCCAAGTCAATACGATAAATTGACTCGAATTGATTTTGCATTGCATTACACATTGCGGACTATATGACGAGTCTATTACGAACAATGTAGTTATGTTGCATTGTTAGGAATGGGGAAAACGGCCCAGATCCCTATTTTATACAATAAATTTTATAAGTCGGGCATTAGATGAAAAAAAAGATGAGATCTTAACTACAGGCTATCTAATCAACCTGCTATGCCAGTACAGATGACGGACGACAGCACAGTCACCATGTGAACTACTAATAGAAACTCAGGAGAAATTCATTTCTTCTACATAGGCATTCTTTATGATGGGAGATTTTACTATATAGGATTTTCCTATTGTCAACTGACATGTAATTTCTATTACTTTTTTCTTTGAAAACGTCCCGAAACGTCATACTAGCGTCGTATTTTAATTCATTTGAAAGGCACATCCTTTGATCTAATCGTATATTTAACTATCTATTTATATAGCAATATTTAAACTAACCTCTATCTATATGATTTTCGCTATATAAAAAAATAATCAAAAATTTATTTTTATATCATTCTCAATATAAATACAGTACAGGGTATATATAGACTATTAATTAACTTATTTCACTCTCTGAAAATGTTAGTGACAAACTCTAAATTCTTTCGTTTATAAACGAGAAAAAATTACCCTTTTTATAATTTCATTTTCTTATAAAATGCAGAACATTGAAAAAAAAATTGACAAAGTTAATGAAATTTTATAGGGTGGTGGGTTTTATATCTCTCATTATAAGTAGATTTGATCCACGTGGAATCGATCAGCATGGAAGATCGGATAGGGATGCTTTTCCCTATTCGATCTGCTCATGAGAAATGAACATCCAGATCGAAATAGAATCCGAATCTCTTGATAATAAAATGTATCTTACCGTCAATCAAGTAACCGATTTAATGTCATTTGGATTTTGCAATATAATTAACTCAAAAGAAACAAAAATAAAATAATTTTAGAATAAAAAAAAATTTTTTTTATACCACTATATAAAACTTGGCAGTGGAAGTAGTGTCGCCATCTATTGTTATTTATGATCATTTTTTAGTAACTATCATTATTGCGCCATCTGTTATTAGATAATGATATTAAATTTTATATTTTAATAAAATAAAATTTAAAATTGTTTTTCTTTTTTTATATATTAAATTGAAGTAATATAATTACATTATTTAATTAATAAAAAATATTTATATANTTTAATTTCTGCATTATTAAATTTGGATTATTTTTCATATTAAATACCGATTATTTTCTTCGCTAAAATTAAAAAAATTCAAAATAATTTCAAAATATTAACCCCATCGTACGTGGAAATAATTTATATATTGCAAATACTCTTACTTCCTTCAGAAAAAAATTTTGCTGTTTTGACATCCAATATTGATAACATGATTGTGAGAAATGATGTCATTTTGTTTCTATTTCCTTAATACCACGAAACGAATTCTGCAAGAAAATAAATTTAGATTTAAAGAGAGAAAATTGATAGAAAGAGATTAAAGAATAAGCTAGAGAATCTTTTATTTTGTTTTATCTATATTATGTTTTTTTTTTTTTAATATTTTAATATAATAAATATATACGGGAGAGTGCAAAAGTTGAGAATCTGAAAAATACAAATGTTTGTTGCTCATTATTATTATTTTTATTATCTTTTATTAGTTCGTATTCCTTATTTGTGATTTAAATTCTACATAAAAATAAATGTTTTTTCTTCCTATTTTCTCCCTGTACGGGGTTTTTTTTCTATAATAACAACTGTATACTTATTTTAACACTCTCCTGTATATGCTCTATGACATTGTATTACTTTATTATTTAAATAAATCTTAAATGATTTATTCAAATGGATAAGTGATGCAATACAAGAGTAAGTTATTATCCATGAAATTAAGAATCTCACTTTATATTGTATTCATTAACAAGTTATGAAAATGAGAAGGTAAAATTACTTCAAGTTTTTCAAGGTTAAATAATAGTGTTTCGACAGAACATTTTGTTTTTCATAGAAACCAACACATTATACAATTATCTCACTCCAGCTGATAGTATGGATTGTCAAATTTCAACAATGAAAATTTCAAATCTATTAAAGAAGTGATTTTGATTATAGCTTTTGAAAAAAAATATTCTATTTACCTGAAATTTTAATTATTTATAACAGAGAGTTTGTTTTGTATATAGCTTATCATTAACTTATTGCTTTTTATCATGTGGCAATCGATCGAAACAAAACTCTCCCTTTGGCTAAATGGATCTCGCAAAAGGTAGAGCAATTATTGATTTATATCACTGAAAGACCTTATCTGCTCGGAATCGATATAATTTAAATTATTAATCCATCGATATATTTATAAATCGATCAAAGGAAATTTAATTACGGTAGATAAAAAATTCAAATCCTTCCCAACTGTCACGTGACTGGATATTAATACCCTGACTTCATTTAAAAGTTTACCCTAAATATTAAATTAGTTATGAAAACAACTTACCGTGTTATATTCCACCGTTAATGATTTCCACCTGCACGTTAAACTGACCGCCATATGTCCTTGGTAAAAAAGAAAAAAATATATATATATATATGTCTATATAGTCATATAAGAGATAGTGTGTAAATCGACCCGTATTATTTTATGTGTTATTGATATAGACAATAAAACAATAAAATTTTTTTCTTATTTTTATCCTGTCAAAATTCCTCTAAACAGATTTTTTGATGTCTACGAAATGACCTTGGATTCCATATTTAACCTTGAGATATACACCGGATAGGTTGCTTAGAAACTTATCATGTGACATCTCAACTAAGCAAAATAAAGTTTTCATTTAAAAAAAAAAAAGAAATTCTGTTAGGTTAAATAAAATTTTCTGTAAATTCTGCAACGTTATAAGTAAGAAAGCCAAAAGAAGGAATGTATTTATATATATATAAAGGAGAGAAAAAACAAAAATTGCGGATTTTTATTGTCGCTAGGCAACGGAAACAATTCGGTTTACTTATCTAATCGAAAATAGTAAATAAGTTTATAATTTTTTTACTTTTATTATTATTATTATTATTGATAAATAACATTCCATTTTATTTTTATTATTTTTTTTATTTACAGAAATTGGGTAGTTCATCGGGTGTTCCAGCAAGTAAGTACAATCCTTTATTTTTTAAATTAATTATATAATTTGTGTGACGTAACAAACGCTTAGCCAATTATTATCTTCGTTTGATTGGTATATGTAATTAGCCCTTACTGTATTAATTTTTAGTATGCGGTATACGTATTCGATTGGACTTTGTATAATGACGAACTTTTACGTGTGACGTAGCGAGAAAATTTAATTTGCTTTCTGACGTCACACTTCCATTAATTCTATTACTCTCTATTGTTTTTATTTAGAGATGACGTCTTGGAAATAGACGTAGGCGCGGGTATTGCGATTCGATAGTGCCTATTATTTTATATTTAACTATTAACGATTTTGTCTTTTTAAAATTGTTTTTTCGATTAAGAACGAAGAAATAAAAATACGGTTCTCTCGGGATAGTTTAGTTTCTATAAATGGTACTGTACATAACTCGTATTTTCTACTGGGTGCAAGCCAAACATTTCCAGATGAATATTGAAAGGAATATATAGGCTATATTTAAATATGTAGTTTAGATATCCGATCTGATTACAGATTAAAAACTGAGCTGATAACAACGAAATCCCTCGTACCTTTAATGTGTAGGAAAGTTTACAAGTTTGAACATAAACAAATGTTTAGGAGAGGAGTAGGCAGCGCTGTTCATCCATCCCAAACCGACCAATCTCCAATCAAGAAAAGTTGTTTCTTGTCATGTGACGTCTGCACACTGGCACAAAGCCTGAAGACTGCTTTTCCTAGCGGGGGAGTTACTCGAGTTTGTAGTCAATCGGTCTGTTTAAGTGAAGGTTAGCAAAAGTCGTTCCTGGCTTTACGGTAGGAGCGACACGATGATAGGATTAAATATGGCACTGCGCTCGAATAGTAAAGACGTGATGAACCAACATTCGCCGAATCAAAGAAGCCCCATGGGTTCGCCTAGGTCTCCACGACTTGCTCTGGCCAAGTTGCAGGGAAAAATGTATCTTCCTAAGTTACAGCTGAGGAGACGTCATACTGCTAATATACCAGAATCGAGCGACGGTGAGTACTTTATCTCGATGCTCCCTCCTCACGCACTAGCCGGATATATGCTTGTGTTGTTCCAATTATAAACTCGTGTGTAATTAGAAGTTGCCTATTTGTGCCAATGTCAAGATGTACGTGAATTATAACTTATAGTTTGCGCTCTATGTAAGAAATTAAACAATCAGAATCTTTACGTTTATTGGTAGGTTATATATTAATTCGATACAAACGAATCAACAATTTAAAATTACCGAGAAGTTTTACGTTAATAAACATTAGTACATAATTTTATTTTCTAGTGTAAGATATTTAAAAGCCATTTTAAATTAAAGGTTTGATAGTATCTTGTATAGGGGTAAACATGTGCCGGAAATTGTTTTAAAATTCTTGCATCTGTCAGCGTATTATGGCGATTAAATTTAACAAAAATCTTTTACGTAAATAAGAATGATGTCTACATTTGCGTAATTGATAATTAACAAGGATAATTAATATGTAATTGACGGCGTAATGATTCCCAACGCGTAACTTCTGTAGAGGGAATTTTCTCAAGTTATATTCTATAGAAGAGAAACTCGCTTTTTTAAAATCACTTGTTTTAATCTGTTTTGAATCGTTTTGGATGAAAAAGAAGTTTAGAAAAATTAAATATGTATTAAAAAATTGGGAGAAGTAAAAGTTTGTTAATATTTAATACAAAATTGAGTTTTTTAGAAGTTCATCTTCATTAAAATTAATCAAATTACTTGAGTTTCTTACAAACGAACACCCACGGATCTATCAAAAATATTTTACGTTTGTCTAATTGTTTCGTTTACTCGATAAATATATATAATCAAACTGTCAAATTGAAATTATTTCAAAGAAAACCAATGTAGTCCATGATTACATTTTTGCTATTTTGATAGAAACCTTTGGACCAATGTGTGATTCTTTTTTTCCCTGTAAGATGAAACCTTGACACTGCTAGATAACTCATTAAACGAAATTATCCAATAGCCAAGTTCAAAAACTGGTGTAATGTGCTAGCGAAGTTTTTTTTTTTTTTATTCACACATTTAAAGTTTGGTTAAATAAATAAGAATAGCTAACTCTTTGGTGCATTAAAATGCTAGAAACATTAAGAAACAATTCATTTATTTAAAATGAAAACGCGAAGGGATTTAATAAAATGAATATCGATTATATGCGAATTGTGTGATAAATTTTATAAAATTCCAATAATCCTCTTAAAATAAATATAATTTCATACATAAAATGGCTTTTAAATTACGTTAATTTACTTAAATTTTAATTTATTTGAGCCAAAAAAATTTTTTTTTTAATGCAAAATATGTAAATATAAAATTCTTTCAAACTTAAAGAAAAGTAATAAAATTTATTATTTAAAATTAAATATTCCGGCAAAACAAATAAATATTTTAAAACAGTTTTTATTTATTTATTTATTTATTTAAGAACTCATAAATTATACACCTGCTGCGACCTTGGCTCAGAGGTCATTTTTGAGTCACACCTAAGCATTGCAAACTTTTATAACTTAAATAATATTTGCCAAAAGTTTGAATAAATAAATGTATTTATCCATAAAATTACTGTATAACTATGTACTGTACTTGTATATAATTAAAGTAATATATTAATATTTTCTATATAATATTCTACAGTTTGAAATAACTCTTATGGAAAATACAAACATTGCATTGAGTTGTAAGATTGCGTATTTCTTTATTAGAAAAATTTCACTTATCATCGTCTTAAATAAATTTACTCGACGTAGAGGTTTTAATGGCATATTTTTTTTTTATTCTGTTTATTGGATAATTGCATATTAACCAAAACATTTTTCAAGTTAAATAATGTAGTTGTATTTTATTTGATTTAAAAATGTTTATTAATTGTTTATAATAGCACTCACTATAACAAAAGGAAAATGATTTTTTTTTTATTATTCTGTTAATTTACAAATAACAAATAATTATTAATAAAAAAAAACAAATTTTCATACATAATAATATAATTACAGTATATGCATTCATTAGAGTTATTAAAATATTTAATATTTTATACTCAAGTTATAAAATTATAAATTATTTCTAATTGGTTTTAAATTTTTAGACGTTGCCGATAAAATTTTAAATTGTGACGTAGTTTGTTGCACGAAACACGAAATTACAACACAAAAAAATAATAATTAATTTAAATATTTTAATCGTATCGCCATCTAGTGGTTATATGGGTAACTAATTTCAATAGATAATTTATATGCTTAAATATTTATTCATAAAAAAACTTAACATAAGCTTATTTGTTATTAATGTTAATATATAAGTTAATCATTTAGGTAATTACGGAATAAAATTATATTATCATTTACTTTATGGTGTTTTCTTCAATTTACTTATGTTATACATTTGTAACTAAATAAGCAAATTTTTCATAAATGAATTTTAAAAATTCCTAAATAAATTAAAGTTAAATTTTAACTTAATACATAATAGAGTAAAATGTAAAATACTTATTATAAATAATTAATTTTTACATTTTAAATCTTACTTGAATTAAATATTGAAATAATGATACTTTTAATCTAGAATTATAAAGAATAATTTAAATATTTCATTAATAAGGAAATAAAAATTATGTTAGAAAACTTTACTAGTTAAGTGAAAGGTTAGAGATTATCCTAAAGTATTATGGTCAGCATTTATGTTGTGTTCTGATAATGAGTTTCAGTGAAGACTTTGTTAAACTCCCAAAATCTTTTTTTACATGTGCCAAAAACCATTGGTATAAAGTAATATATTAATATTTATAATTTTATCTAATAAATAATTGAACAATAAAGTTCAAAGAAAAGATTTAAAACAACAATAGAAGTCATATAATGAATTAAACACCAACGAGACTGAGATTTACATCATAATATAATAAAAAGAATATATATAAGTAGGAATATATTTTAACAAGAATTGATAATTGTCACTTTTAGTATAAATGTATATTTTAAAGTTTTAATAAAGATAATAATGTGAGCTTGTGGGCGGCCGGATGGCCGAGCGGATAAGGCGTCAACCTAGTGTTTTGGGGGACCCGGGATCGAATCCGGGCAGAAAACTCCAGGGTCGCAACATCCAGTCGTCCCATTGCGGACCTGGCCGATGGGTATGAAAGAAAAATCCACTTAGTGCAGTAACCTATGGGCAAATGCCTGGGGCTCTTACCGACAGGGGACTCCAAACTAATCTTTCATAAGAAAATATTTCCCCAAAACATTCTCCGAAGAAAAATATCTGAAGTCAACATTGTACATGGGGCTCCCTAATTCAAATTTGTCTGGACACCATGAAGCTATAAGCAGTCTTAGTGCTCAAGGACGAAATAGAAAAAATGAAAAACAAAAAAAAATGTGAACTTGTTCATTTGCAAATTGAGAAAAAATGATATATAATATGTATAGATGCAATTTATTGAGATCGTGGTAGACGGAAAATTCATACAAAATTAATTTGTAGGATTATAAATAAAAATATGCATAATTCATTAAATGGAATAATTGGAATAATGGAACGTCGTTCGAGCACGCTTGCGACGACCTTCAATAAAGAATTTTTGCAATCTTCGATATTTATTTTAAGGTTGATGAGCAAATTAATGATCATATTTGAAACAATATAGTATGTTATTTAATTATTTAACTGACACCATTTTTTAAAGTTACATTCCTTGCAGACAAAGTTTTTATTTAGATTTATTTTTATAAAAATTAATATTAAATTTGAAGTCAAGTCAATATTAATTTTTAATATATAAAAATTCGTCGATTTTATATATATATATATATATTTTTTGCTTGGATATCAGAATTCGGTTCGTTCGAAGTATGGCCACCAGTAGCCGAGTGAATAAAATCACTGAACACTGGTAGTTGGACGCGAGTTCGCGTCTTACCTATCGGCCGGCTAAATGAAGTTTTCCGGGTTTTCTTTATGTATCTAACACCTAAATTTGGCCAGTTTTCCATAGAATGTCCTCCCGGAAGGCACTCCCTTCTTGGCAGATCGCCCATGTGTTGCGGTGCAGTATCTTATTAAATGAAACGAAACGTTCGAGTACCCTTGATTCATATGTCTGTATTTGGCTTCATTTTGGAACATTGTGTGAATTTATTAAGCAATCAAACATTCGTCAAGCTATTATCAGAATTATTTCTTTTTATACTGATAAAATATTTATTATTTAGTTCTCTTTAACGCTAAGTTAGTCACGGGACTTAGTCATGTTTGCTTATTTGGCAATGACATTAAGTAAACGAATATTTTTTTCTTTTGTTTTGAATCACTACACTAATTTATTAATTTTCGTTCATACGTCATTTCCATTTCTTTTTTGTATACAGTTTTAATAAATTATTTTTATTCTTGTCTCGTATTTATTTATTATTAATTCACCTGACCTGGGTGAGTCATTTATCGTTCAATGAATATCATTTACGCTTTGATTTACTTTCAGTTTTGTTCATTGTGTTTTATGATTAGTTCTTTGCTGTTTTCTCTATGATTTATTTTTAGGCCGTTTCCATTTGTTGTTTCAACAAACATTTCGCTTATTTGCTTTTTAATGGATTTTTCTTATTTTACATACCGAATTATTACATTTGTTATATAAAATTATTTCATACCTACATTTGGAAATATAAATGTTAGATAGTAAGTACTATAAAAATTGATACTAGAAGTTGATTTGTTAGCAATATTTAACACTTTTTATTCCTTATTCTTTTCGATTAAGCTACCGAAATTTTAGTATGAATTATTAATGTTAATTATATATTTATGGTATTGCATTTGAATTATTATCTGTTGCACCATTTAGCGTCATTTTTGTGTGGAATTATTTTTGAAAACAAATCATTTTCGTACAAATTCTATAAATTCCATAATCTTATTAAAGTTAATAGTAAAATAGAATATAGCCTCTATTGAATTCAGTTAAATATAAGATTAACTTGGTGTTGATTACTGAAAAAAAGTCATTTCAGTAAACTACTATTTCATATTGGTAAGGAATATTTGCGTTTTTCTATTTCTGATTTTTTTTTTATTATGCGTACATGTATACTCCGTCTTTCGAAATATCAATAATTGCATGGTATTAATATAGAGGAAGTTCCCTTCCCAAGAAACTAAAGGAAAAATTATAAAATATCTTTTTAGTAGAAAAGTTTTGTTTCTTTATTTTATTTTTTACGTTAAATGTGCTACGATGCATGAAATATTAGTTAGATGAAGTAATAGATTAAACAGAAAACAATCAATAACAATTTTTTAATAGAGATTTTGCTTTCGAAAGCACAACTGACATAACACGCCACTTAACAACGATAGCTCGAACTGTACAGAAATCCTAATATGGATTACAAAAAGCGATTATGGGATACGAAAGAGCTCGTTGTCGAAAATAGGGAATCACTGTATAGTTTGTACTTATGAACTAATCTCATAAAATAATCTAGATGGATTGATAATGATAATAATAATAATAATAATAAGTGCAGAGCCCAAACGGTTAGGAGTTGAAAATTGAAATTTAATACACATTTAGAGCACGTCATGAGAATATACACAAAGAAGGGACTTTGCAAAATTTTTCCCGTGGAGATGAGGGAAAGAGTTAACAGGAAAAGTATGATGTACTGTACATGGAGGGACAAGATCCTACAAATTTGAGATGGAGAACATATATTTTAAATTAAATAAATTAAAATTATGATTAAAATTAGCAGCCCGGCATTGTGAATATGTCACAATAAACAATTATTTCATAAAAACCTTTTTTTTAAATAATAATAATATCGCTTATGTTCCGATTTTTTTTTCATAATCTGTTCCGATAAAAAGTATTATTTTACAAAAAAAATAAATTTTTTAAAATTATTATTGATACTTAGCATGTTATTTCCAATATAATTATAATTTATTTCAATTTATATTGCTTTTAAAATTTATCTTTTACTCAGACTGCTTCTTTGCTTAATAAGTTCTTATTAAAGTAATCTATTACGGCGTATTTTTTTAAAAAGAAAAATATTTTACTTAACAAGTAAAACATTTTCTTGTTTCTTTTCTTAGTACAATGATCACCTGACACTAGCGAATCTTAAAAATAGTTACATTTGTTAATTGAACAAGTGATCCATGTAACGCATGAAAAAATTCTAGATTTTTAATTAACGGACGATGATTTACGCATTCATTTTAAAAATAACTCTTTCTTTAATATTGTTTAATTAAACATTTTTCAATATATTCATTTTTAGACTCCATTAATTTAAATTCTATTAAAAATGAACGTAATTATATAATTTATCTATAATGAAATAGCGGCTGTGACGAGTATTATCTAATTTTATAAATAATTATATTACTTCATAAACTTGATTTACATTCAAATTAACAGAGAAAATCAGCCTCTTATTATTAGGACATTCAGTTAAAGCTTTATAAATATTATCAAATCAGGAACGTATCTAGATGAGGACGATTGTTCCCTGACTGATTATTCTTTTATTGCCAACACGATATTTTATTATGAATTATTATTATTATTATTATGTTATAGTTTTCTGAATTCATTTCCCGTGTGTGACTTTTAAAACGGATGCTGAAACCTAGTATCAAATATTTATATTTAATACGGTATGATATACAAAATTTTTTGGCATAGTAATCGTTAATAGTGAAATTCGTGACTGATAAAATGATTAAAACCTCCATATAACACAATTACAGTATTGTAATTATAGATATAAACATGATATTATCCTAATCTCTCCAGAACAGTATTTTAATCCAGTATTATTATTATTATTATTTTAAATATCTTAACTAGGTCGAATTTAACTAAGCCTATAAAACTTTATAGATTTTTATATTATATATAACGAATAATATAACCAGTTATATAATAAAAACATAACAGTTTTCTGTACTATTATTAGAATACCGGGAGTATCCGTTCTTAACGTGTGAGAAAATTTTGGCGTAAGAACGGAATGTTGAAACTGGTGGATAGCCGCCTAGAATAATAAAAAACAAACCGTGACGAATAAAGGAATGCAGTTTTTCATGTCAAATTTTAGAAATTTTTCAATATGACAAGGAATGATAGACTCGTTACAACCGAAACATATGAATAAAATATGATTTATTTGAGAAATTAAAATGAATAGTGTCTACAATATTAATATATATAGGCCTATATATATAACGAATTATCTTTTTTATTAATTATAATATATAAATAATAGTGCATAACTATTAAAAAAAAGTATTAAAAGATGTTTCGTTTATTAAAAAGTCTTCAAAAATCTAACAGTAAAGTAACTTTGACAAAATATTTTACTTTATTCGGATTATAAACGAATTTTAAATACAGCATTTTATTATTAATAATTTGTACATTTAAGATTTTTTTTCCCATACAAATGTATTTAAATATTGAATTTCTATTAAGTATAGAGTTAATACGAAAACAACTAATTTAGTTTACTTTTTTTAAAAATATATTTCCTATAATAAATTTTACATTTTAATATATCTTTATTTCTATTATTTAAAGAAATAATAAAACAGCTAATGAGTATTCAAGTAAAATCACAAATTATATCGTAGAAGATAATATAAACTTATTTAGGGATTACAGCATTATAAGATAACAATAAATCTTAATTTTTACCTAGTTAAGTTACTGGGTTTTTATTTTTCGACAACTTTCACTCATCTTGTCATTTTGATTTTGCACTCGTTCATCAAAGCGGATGTAAGTTCATTATAACAAATGACGTGTTTAAAATAGCGAGTAATAAAAAAATAAATAAAATAGCTTTTATTTTTTTTTTTAAATATACGAGTTATTTTTTAATATATCATAAGTGAAAACAGCTGTTACACGAAATTTAATAGATATGCATACAAAGTAATGAGGTATAAAAGTCAGTTTTGGCTTAAATAACACAATGTCAGATTATTTTATAAGTCGCAAATTTTTCGGTTATTTGTTTTTATTTTCTACAAAAATAACTAACAATTGTAGAATTTAACTAGTGGCATTATTCGACTATTACAAATGTATTTATTTTCAATGAAATTGATCGGTGTGGATGAAGCACCCTAACTACACATGAAAAATCTCGACAGCTCAGATAGGATTCGAACCCGGATTCTAAAATTATTTTATAAAAATGCATTGGCGTTATTGTCGATTTCTATAACTAATACAAATGTATTAAGTATCTTATAACATAATTTGTATTGAATGTTTGAATCGATTATAGTAGAGAAGTTGCGGCCGACGTTTACAACGCGAAAACGTGTACGTCGGACGTTCATCGCCGCCTTCCTGTGAGCCTAGAAGTTTAACAATGGCGTTTGGAACGTCAGTACAATCATGCTCGACGTTCCAAACGTCATTGTTAAACTTCTAGGCTCACAGGAAGGCGGTGATGAACGTCCGACGTACACGTTTTCGCGTTGTAAACGTCGGCCGCAACCTCGCTAGTATTAAACGATAAAACGTTTAAAAAAGAAAACAAGCTATAATCTTGATTATAAGCTAAACTCGTAAGCGTTAAAGATATTTCTAAGAACTAAAGTACATTTTTTAAAATTAAATCTAAAAAAATGTCCAGTTTCACACACATTGAAATAATAACAAATGTATTTTAAGTATTAAAGGGCAGTATAAGTTTAAAAAAAAAAAAAGACATTAGCTTGATTTACTAACACCTTTTAGCCTTTATAAGAGAGTTAGTGTTTCGGTAATCGAATATCGATTTTGAAGCACTTTTAAAAATAAAACTTACCCCTGTGATATTTTCTTTACTACAAAACTTATTTGTTATAATGTGAAGCATGTTTCTGGTTCGTAACATCTTATTACAATGACATTGTTTATGTTACAAAACAATTATTTTTAATAATTAAAATATTTTAAAATTACAATTTAATTTCATAATAATTATATTTACATACATTCGAGTAATTTAATTATTCGTTATTAATTAATTTTAAATAGTCTCATTTTGTTTCGGATGGATGGTTACTTTCAAATGTATTATCTTTATAATAAATAAATATAGACAAATAACGATTTAATACATCTTAAACGTTGTAAAATTAGAAATTGCAATATTTTTTTTTTGTTTTTAAATTTTAAAAAGTTATTTTTGAGAAGTAAAATCGAATATTAGTTTAACTAATTGTTCGCCAGGGGCGCCACACTCAAGACATTGGATGGACGACAACCACTAGCGACACCATTGGAGTGGGAGATACGGTCAAGGCTATTAATATCACAGTCGCAAATTGTGGCCCACTAAAAAAAAAAAAAAGAAAAAGAAAATTTCCAAAAATTAACTAGGCGCGTATATATCATTATAAGAATTTTAGAAAGCGAAATAAGAAAAAAAAAAATTAAAACACCGAAACATGGTAACACCGAAAAAGGGATGGTGGCAGAACAAACGGTTGGTATTCGCCGGAAAACCAGGTCAGTCACATACTGAACTTTAATTACTGTCATTTTATTACTTTTTTTTTTATTAGAAAAAAAGACAAAAATTATATAAGTAATAAATATGATGCGCTTTAAAAGTTACTGAATAATAATAATAATAATAAATTATTATATTTTAAATCTTCAAACGTGATCACAAACGTTTTATTTCTATTCGTGTTAAGATCTCTTTGCATGCAAACTTGCATTAAACGAGCGTGTTTATAGTCACGTAGTTTAAGATTTCAACTCTGTGCAGAAATAAAATATAGTTATATTAAATATTAAAAGTTTTCATGTAATAATATCTTGTGCTTGAAATTTTAAAACAATTTTATAAGATGCGAGAATGTATTTAGTTGTAATTTATCAAAAATTAATGGGGATGTTATCATTGATTTTTTTTTCTTTTAATTCATCAGTAAAGATAACAATTAAAGTCTTACTTCATTCATTTCATATATATTTAATATAGTTTAATGACAATTTTCGAAAATATAATCGAATTCTTAGAGAATATTTTAAAGGAGAATTAAACCAGATTACAAAAATTTAATTTATATGTAATGAAATTTAAAACATAATACTTAAAAACACTTATTCAGTTAACAAAAGGTAAGTTTTTTGAATTGTTCTGTGATTGGTTACTTGATAAATTTGAAAGTTGTATATAAATTGATTTCTTTAAAATAATTTTGATCAAATTATAAAAATCATTATATAAAATTATTGCAAAATAATTGTTTAAAATGTTTTTACTTTAAGTCAAGAGATTTTAATTGATTATCGATCAGTTATACTCAATTATAATTTTTTCCTGTGATTTATTTAACTCAATAAATAATCGCTTAAAAGATATTTTATTATTATGCTTAAAATTTTTATATAATTAATAATTGTAATATGATTTGAGGAAGAAAAATTATCCTGTGAGAAAAAAAAGTTGAGAGGAAAAAGAAAAATCGTTTGTTTCGGTTGGCATAGTAACAAAACAGACTCCATTATTATCAACTTTTGACGAATTGAATGTTTTTATGAATGAATTCTATCGATTATTAATAATTCATATTCATTTTTCTATTACATATATATCAAAAAGTTTTTCAAAGAACAGTTTTACACTTTATTTCTTATACTAAAAATATAACTTATATTCCTAGTATAAGAAATCATTATAAAGGTTTTTAAGAGAATAATATTTCAATTTATGTAACATTTATAAATATATCATCCAGATATAATTCAAAAAGTTTTCTACGAAATGAAAATTTCGATTTTAATTTATTACCAAAGAAAATGAGAATATTTTATCAGATAACGAAACATTTCGATAATTATCGATTAGCGTGACTTGGATACGATATTAATACTTCATCACACGCATTTCGTGTTTTGTGTCCATTAAAAGCGCTTCTCTGTGTATTATAAACTAGACAAAACTGAGAAAGAATAGATCCAAATAATGATTACATACTTGTATCTGTATATGGAAATAATTTTCTATTTAAATATCATCCAATTAAAGTTTGTGTTCGTTATCTTGTAACAGGATATCGAATTAAAATAAATTCTATAAATATTAATATATTTTTGCATTCATTAGGTGCCTTACTCCGTCGTCATTCCGTCGATCCTGATCGGAGGCGCGCTTCTGGATTCCACAGGTCTTTTGACGGTTCCTTAGACCACCATACAGCTCTTATACATCGTGACCACAGAGGGGTAAGTTTATTTAATATAAAATAATTCATTTGTTATAATAACTCCCAATAACGACCTTCAAAATATGAAAGTCGGAGGATTTCTATTTTAAGAGTTTCGAAACAATTACGATGTTTACAGCATCACTGCAATAAAGTTTGATTTCGATTACATTTAGATTAGATTCTATCTAGAAATTTAGAAATTACAGCAAATTGTAAATTACTTAAACAGAGAATTCAAAACTATTTGAATTAGGAGAAGGTATGCATTTAAATAATATGTTAAACTGATCTTTTCAAAAGTGAGAATAAGAGTATTTTCAAATTTAAGTGATCAAAAATGAATAGATTATTTTTGAATAAGGAAATAATTTTCAAGACTTTTAGATGGTATATTAAGACAACGAACCTTTGAATATTGATTTTATGGAAAGCTGGAATTTCTTTTGTGAAATATTAATTAATATTTAAGATCTTTCCTTGCAATAAATAATGAGAAATTAATAAACGTGTGTAAAGAATATATAATTCTTTTAGTATAGAAATGAAATTCCATTAATAATTTATATAGGCCTATATATATAAATTTGTGATAATTTTTATAAACAGAAAATAATATATTAAATATGAAAAATTATTATTAAAATTGAATATTAATAATTAAAACTGAAATATACTAAAAATAATAAATATTAACTAACGTATTATATAATTTTTATCATATTGTTTAAAGTTATTTTGTGTAAATTTCTATTTTAGACTAATGCGTGTAGTTTTCGTTTATTTTCATTGGAAAAGACAACTTGATATTTAAATATCAAGTCAAAAACTTTTATCTTATTTTATTTTATTTCTTTTTTATTTATTTTGTTCCGGTTAGACAAACAGACAGAACAAATGCATTAACGTTGTTGAATTTAGATCATTTTTCTAGAATATTTTATGTACTACACTGACGAAATGGACATTAACACCATTTTTATATCTAATCTAGTTAATAAATATTTGAATTATCTTATTTAACAGAAGATCGGCGATACTATACGAATTATGCCTATCGTCACTAATACGTCATCATCCACTGGTGCTATTTTTAGATATATAGGTTACCATGGTAACTACGAATGATATAGGTCTATTCGGATAGTTTCTTAAATGGGACCATATAAACAAAACTTTATTTCTGTTTAGTAATATAACTTTTACTTGTTTGTTTTTAAAACGTCCACATCTTTAAGAATTTAAAAAGCAGGCGGCATTTATTTGAACCGTTAAAATCAACTTTAAAATTTAAAGTACTTCATGCATTTTTAACCTAATGAGAGTCTCACTTGGGAAAATTACAGTTAAAGATAATTCGTGATCCCAAATCAATTGCAAAAAGATTAAATCTTTAGAAAAACATGATATGAAGGAGAAAAGGTTGTTTTATTGTAAACTAGCACCGTTTTGTGGAATTGCATCAGTCGACCTCTTCAGATATTCGGTCGATTTGTCGACACATGCGCTTTAGTTTGGATCAATATACCAAGTGTTTGTCAATGCTGCAGTGAAGTTCAATGTCCTGCTCACTGTCACAAATTTTCTGACTCCATTCAGTATAGAAAAAATACTGATACAATTTTCCTCTTCCTTATCTGCACCAATTTATTAAATATGTATTACAAATCTTTTTAGTTTGCATATTTATTTATTAAAAAAGTAAATGTGCTTTGTAAAATCCTTCAAAATGGTTAGCATGCTTCTCCCCTTAGAAACACAATGAGAATTTCCTTGTAGCAACTATGGCTATATTCATTTTGTTTTCAAAAATTTCTGTTTATTTTTACGATTTATAGTTTAAAGTTAAAGTTCGATCCAAAGTTTTCCTTTATTCAAATCCGTCTAATTTTTACAACAATAAAACATGATTGCATGATTAATATTAGTTATGACCTTAATAATGCAACTGTTAGTTTTACGATTTTTATGACGAGTTTAGAATTCAAAAATTTTATTAATTATAGACTCATATACAGTATATTATATATAAAATACAGGAAATAAATTAATGAATGCAACATAGTCTATATAAAGATTTGAATATATATATGTTTATTGTTGAAAACTTGTATTATAAACGAAATTATTGAATATTTCATTTTTTATAGAAAATGATGCCATTTTTTTTTAAATTCAGATGAAATATATATATTTTAGTATATTATTTTTTGGAAAAAGTTTGATCTCTTTCTGACAGTATCTCTAGAGTGCAGCTTTTTGAAGATGATCAATAATATAAATAACTTTCGGGGTTAGTCGGTCATAAAAATGAAGAAATTGAAGGATTTTACTGTAGGGTGTTTAGTTAGAAATAGTTTTATTAAAACGTTGCTAATTCTTTCAATATGATTTAAACTGTGTCAAACATCGCATTATTATTAATTATACAGTAAAAAACAATTTTTCTATAATTGATTTACTTAATTTGTGTTATCGTAAACAAATTCATAATTTTCTGATTTCTTAATTTTATAATTGAACACGATATAAATCAATCAATAACATTCTATAAATAGATTCAACAGTCTTACTAGTACTGTAAAAATAGATTTGAAATAGTCTTTTGATCAAGAATCAATTAAACAGATAGACCATTCGTCTTAAAGTGAGTATAGATAATGATATAATAAGTTTCTTAAAGGAATAGTCAGGTTTTTACAAAGTTAGGTGTTCTATTTATTTTCTCATAGCCATATACTTGTACTGTACATAGCCTATAACAAATGTTTATTACAAGCCACAATCACAATTTAATGTTCTCTCCTGTTGATATAAACTCCTCCATCTCATGTTATCGGTTTATTATATACTTCAGTTTCAGGAATAATAAATTAAGATGAGGCTTTTTTCTATAGGCTAAATAATTTGGTTATATTTAATTGTAATAAACATAAGTTAATTGTAATTTAATTGTAACAATTCATATGATTAGTGATGATTTTAACTGAATAAATTTTAAATAAATTAGTATTTATATACATTAGTTTATATAAGTTGTTTACTAAATAAAATATAAAAATTCTACAAGATAAATCCAGGAAAAAGTGCACTATTTAAATTAATAGAAAAAAGTATTTTATATTCGATATTTTTAAGCGTTTTTATGATACGCTGAAAGAGAAGCACTTGAACGGATTGATTCTCACAACACCTAAAAAATATATACTGTATTTAATTTACGAGGAAGTCACTTATATTAAAGTAATACATCTGGGTTGCAATTTTCAAATTTCATGACTAGATTTCCACTGTCGTCCGTCAGTGTGTCCGTCCGTCCATCCGTTCCGAGAACGGAGTTAGATGAAAATCAAGACCAGATGTGGAAGGCTTGGGGACCGAAGGCCCCGATTACCTATACACAAACTTCCGGTATAGACCTGAAGTCACGTTGTTTTTTAAATAAAATATACAAAATTGCAGCCCGGCATTGTGACGATATTATAATGCGTAATTACTCGTTTAAAGTGATTTCTATACATACGGCATATACAGATATCCCTCGTATAACACGGTAAGTTACGTTCCGAAAAAATGCCGTGTTATGCGAATCCGTGTTATACGAAACAAACGACTAATGCAAAATATGGGGTTACGTTCCAGAAGTTAGCAAAAGTATAGTCTACTATTCTAAATTTGTCGTTACTAAGAGAAATATGTTTATTAAAACATCGATCATTTATTTCCAATCAATAATTAATTAATAATCACAATTAAAAGTACTGTATTACATATTAATATTAATTTTAGTTAAACCTGGGCGTTTTCTTTTTACAAAGTATCGTCTTCATTTCTGCTTTTTCTGTTAATCTTGATCGGAAGTATCAGCAACATTTTCATATTTTTTATTTTTATCAGAAAAATTTTTTTATGGATGACAAAATGAAATTGTTATTAAGTTATTAATCAAAAATTTGTTCTAGCGGGTCACATTTGTTCAGTTGACTATAGTGACTTTTTTCTAGAATTTGTGTTCGAATACCAAACTGTTCGAGTACCAAGATACCGCCGTATTTCATTCGTCATTTTACGAATGATTGCTTACCTACAGTTAAAAAAAATCAATAGCACTTATCTAAAAATGTTTAAATAAATTTTACTAAATACAAAGATTAATCTATAAAAAGAAAACACAGCGATCAACGAGTTAGAATATACAGTACTATATAGAGTGGCTGTGACCTTAGATATAGTGCTCTTGGTGGCAACGACAAGTACTATCGGCCGCCATTTTACTTTAAGTCAAAACATTGAAGTCAGTACTACGTGTTTGGCAGGACTGTAACTTTAGAATCTATTTTTCTCGTCTAAATCTAGATTGTTTTGTTTGCCCCTAGATTTGAGATTTAGGAAATTAGAAAAGTGATATAAATCTAGATTGTTTCATCTCGAATTTAGCTATTTTCTAGATTTTATTTAATTATTATAAAGAAGGTAAGATAAGAGTTTAAACTGGTAGGTGTAGTACTTAACCTTCAATATACCAATATTTTTATAATGTAAGTACAGTACGATCCAGGTCTTGAAGGGCTTTACTCTCATCCATATGATTGTTTATTTATAGTGTGCCAATCTGATCCATACCACACTGAGTACGCTGTTGATTTTTTCATATGCAGAATACAAGTAGTGTTCTTGTGTTTTTATTATAATTATAGTTTGTGAAAATTTCGGTTTCAATTTGTGAAATTATTTACAATGAAAGTCTACATTTTGACCTTTGTTATGTTAAGAATCGCATTGTTGAAGTTAAAATTCTTCTAAGGTAAATGCAACACTTTTTCCCATCGAAAATAGACAAAGAAAACATGCAAGTAAGTGCAAGAGACTGATATGTAGAAACTGCACCAATAGGATGTGTACAAATTATGCACCATATGCATCATTCTGGATAACAAAAGTATAGTAACATGAACTAACCTTTTGTTTGTTGTGTCATTTACACATATATCCAGAACTAATTTTATTAAATATCTTACC